AGAAGCAGCAACTGAAGACGAGGAGGGTGGAGACCAGCACGATTGTGGCCAGGGCCCAGGGGGGCACTGCGGAAGAGGCGGAGACACGCACATTGAGGGCTCCACGCGCAGCCTGGAGTCGTGGCCTTGTGTTCCCTCCGGCCATTTCCATTCCATTTCACTTCCATGTTTTCCTTCCAACCAATCACGTTTACAAAGTGATTCATGCCTTGATCCAGGCTGACACCATCCAAATTTCCTTTCCTATTAGTTCCACCGGGAGCTCTGGTAGCATAGTAGCTAAGACACTTGCCTGCTCACCAGACGGTTGGTGGTTCAAACCCACCAGCCACTCCTCAGAAGGAAGGTTGGGCAATTCTACTTCCGTAGTGATACTGCCTCGGAAACCCAAGGAGGGGTCGCTATGAGTCGGGTTTGACTCAAGGGCACATAACAACAACAACAACATTAGTTCCACCTCCCCTTTCTCTCCCATATTAATTTCTGCTCAACCCCTGTGGCTTTGAGAAGCTCTGTCCCTCCCAGGGCCTCAGTTTCCCCAACTGTAAACAGAAGGGACGGATGGACAGTTCTCCAGAGGGAGACCCCGCTCCGTTCCAGATTCAGGTTTTTCTTGCAAACCTGTTCCTTTTCCCCATTGCGTTCCCATTCCAGCCCAGGATTCCCACCCGTATTTTCCATCCCTCTAGCCCGCGTACAAGCGTCCGAATCCCGCCCCTGGAAATCCAGGCCGGACTTTCTGTCCGCTCTGCTTCCGGAACTCGCTTACCAGGGCCATGGCTGATGCGGCTGGAGTCTGGAGGCGCGTCGGGAGCTGAAGGCCCCAGGGTTGGAGGCTCCGGGAACATGGCGGCGGCGTCCTCCGGTCCTTTCTGCGGTGGCACCCAGGCACCCTAGCCCCCCACTCCCAATCCAAACATCCATTGACGCCTCCAAACAACAAAGAACTACAACTCCCAACGGCCCCCTGGGGGGCCGGCCACGCACAGACCGGTCATTAGGCGCGAGGCATCCTGGGAGTTGTAGTTCCAGCCTCCCCGCGGCGGAGATGGGGCTCTGGGAGTCGAGGTTCCAGGACCTATTTCTATACCAAAGGGGTACCACCTCCGTTCGAGGCACCCCCCCAGGAATCCCGCTAACTTCTGCACCTCCCTCCTCCAGGACTTGAACCGGAAGCAGGCGGAGGCGGGCGTGGGAACTAACGCACTGGGTTGCCCAGAGCAACGGCTGGCTCCCCTAGGGCGGGGCAGGAGCACCACTGGTTGCCCAGGCAACAGCCTGTTGCCATGACAACGGGCGGGGCTTACGCACAGAAGTGGAGCCCGGGCGGGGCAGGCGCCCTCCCGACCGTCTCGGGCCTGGGACCCCAGACTCAGAGAGAGTGGCGAGGGGGCAGTGTGTGGTCCAAGCGTGCGTATGTCCATGCGCCCACATCTGGCTCCTCCCTCCACATCTGGGCCTGGTCGCTGAGACCCAGCCCCCGCTTCCCGACTCTTGCGGAAGAAGGGAGGCTGCCCGGAAGCCCCCGCTGGACCCCTGCACCCGCCTGCGCCTGTTCGTCTCTCCCGTGCACCCCAACCTTTGTCTCAAACCTGTTCTCATGCTCGCTTGGGCCTCTCCTGCTCCGTGTCCCTGCCTCTGTCTGTCTGTCAGTCTCCCATCGTCTCTCCCCGCCTCGCCTCTGCGTGTCTCGCCCTCTGCCTGCGTCGGTCCAAGGCCTCGCCCCTCCCTTTGTCTGTCTCCACACCTGTCTTCTCTCTGGATCCCAGGCTCCCGGTGCCAGGCTCCAGCCTTCCTGCTTCCTCTCCTGGCACCTCCCAGTGCACCCCACACACACGCCCAGGGCCCCTCTAGGGATGGCAGTGAGGATGGTGTTCAGGGAGGGGGTCCCAGCGGCTCCTACCTGCTCGGCGGCTGCACCGGACCCTCCCGGGAGACAGAGAGGCGCCAGCCCCGCCCGAAGCCCGCCTCCGCAGGCGGCTGGCGCTGTCCTCGGTGCTGATCGCGGCTGAGCGAAGCGGGCGTGTGGCGTGTGTGACTGAGTGTGAGAGTGAGTGTGTGTGAGTGTTCGCCCTGGTAGGCGGAGAGCCCCGCCCCTCGACCCTCCCCCAACCACCAACCACGACGGCGCCCTTGAATGTTTACCTAGTCCCCCAAAGCGTGGGGCATCCGCCATCGCCCCCGCCCCAGCCCGAGGAACCAGGCATCAGCATATCCGGCCCCCGGGCTGGGCACAGGAGGCCTTCTCTGGAGACCCAGGGATCCGGATGCACCGGGTAGGAAACTCCCCAGTGCAATGGCCCCAGCAACACAGCCATGTCCCTTCAAGCTGCCCCAGGAGGCAAGCGCCCCGCCCCTCGCTCCAGGAACCGTGTCCACACCGCCCAGACCTAGGACACGGGAGTCTAGCCCCCGACTTTGGGCACTCAGCTAATCCAAACCTATATTTGCAGGTGCACGATTTAGCTGGCGCAGCAGTTAAGTGCTCAGCTGGTCCCCGGAATTCACCCACCTGCTCCGCTGCAGAAAGGCCTGGTGATCTCGCCCCGTAAAGATCACAGCCCAGAAAACGCTTAGGGGGCAGTTCTCCTGTCACGTGGGGTCGTCGCTGAGTCTCAAATGGACTCAACAGCACCCCCCCCACACACACACACACACAACAGCACCAGCAGATTCCGTCTTAGGAGTCCCTGGGTGGTGTAAACGAATCCCACGCTGGGCTGCTGACCGAAAGATTGGAGGTTTGAGGAGAATGCCCTGAGCATCTCCTCTGTAGACTCAGCCCCTGGAGTGCAGTTCTGTGACACACATCGGCCGCCGTGAGTTGGAATCCTTTTGATGGTAACTGGTAGATTCTTCCTTAGGGCATTATTGCCTCAGTACATACATGTCAGGAACCCCACTGCTCCCAATCCCAACTTTATTTCCAGACCCAGAAATCCATCAGGGCAACCAGGAGAACAGTAATTTAGTGAATTATGAAATAGAAGGACCACTATATACAATCAGTAGGTACAGGGGGCCTCGCGTGGGGGGAATCCCTTCAATCTCACATTCCCCAAAATCCACTGTTGTCAAGCTGATTCCGACCCACAGCGCCCCTAGAGGACAGAGTGGAACTGCCCCACAGGGTTTCCAAGGCTGTCAGTCTTCACAGAAGCAAAGCCCAAACCACACCCACTGCCCTGGAGTCTATTCTGACCCACAGCGCCCCTAGAGGACAGA